TCAAGGGCAGGGCCCAGACGTCATTCGTAAGACCGGATTCCCAGCCTCACCTGCCTGTAGTAGCCTTGCTCATTTATTTAGCACCTGCTGTATACCCAGCCTCGACTGACCAGTCTGTGTCATAGGCAAGACCTGTTGGCTTACTTGCCAAAGCCGCTGCAACGGTTAGTGAGCACGTCAACCATAAAGAACCTGATGGAACAGGAGTTGAGGTGGATACAAGCATGCAGCTCCCAAGAAGCACAGATCAGCTTCATTGGTGGGTCTGGGGCCCTGGGGGTTGCGAGGGCCGGAGCAGGAGACCGTGAAGGGAAGGGGTGAAGGTGCAGGGCAGCTTCTCTACCTGCCCTGCCTCGCTCATCCAACCTGGAGGCCGTTGGGCAGGTCCCAGGGCCACAGTGACCAGAACTCCTCTCCCGGCCCCTCCCTTCCCAGAGGCTGTGAGCCAGCTGCCCCTCTTTGGCTACACCGTCTACGTGGTGTTGCGGGTCAGTCAGCTGGCCCTGCCCGGACCCAGCCTTCTGGGGCTCAACCGCCAGCACCTCATCCTCATGGACCCCAGCTCCCAGGTGGGCCAGGCTCCCGCCCCGATGCTGGCCTGAGCACCTTGCGCCACTCTCCCACCATCCACGGTGACCCCTCCCCTGAGAGGGTCCAAGCTCTGCTGTCTCTACTGCCCCCAGAATGTGTACTGCTCCGTCGCCCTGAAGGACCTGCAGAGACTCCACCTGCTGAGCCCCCTGGAGAGCGATGGGCCCCCTGGCCTGGAACTCAACTACGGCTCTGCCGACAACCCCCGGACCATCTGGTTTGAGCTGGTGAAGGTGAGCGGCCAGGGCCTCCGATGACATCCTGGGAAGGCAGCGCACGTGTGACCCAGGCCTGGCGTGGGGTGGGGGTGCAGAGCGGGGAGCCCTGTCCTCATGTGCCTGTGCCCCGGCAGGCCCAGGAGCTGAAGCACACCATCGCCTTCCTGAAGGACAGCGGCACTGCTTCCAACTAACGGCTGGCCTCACCCAAGAAGAGGGGGAGAGGGGAGGAGACGAGGAAGGGGCCCCTCCCACATCCAAGTCTGACTGGGAGGGTCTCCCTTGGGTGCCATCAGGCCATTTTGGTTTGGACTCCACTCCCCCACCCCCGGCTGTTCTGGAACCTCCCACAGCACAGAGCTCCTGGCCCACGTGGAGGCCATGAGGCAGGAGCTACTACGGTGACATCAACTGGGAAAGAGAGTAGCAAGACTCCCCCCTAGGGGTTCCCGGAGTGGGGGCTGCAGGAACTCGCTTGGGCAGCTGATGCTGCCTACCCTGGGGGAGATGCCCGTATGGCGCCAGGCCCTGGCTCAACACCAGAACGATCCCAGGCCTGGGAGAAGCAAATGCTGAGGAAATAAAACTCCCAAGAGAAAAAGGCTGTGTTTGTGTTTGGCGGGGGAGGGGTGTCAAAACCAACAGGACTTTTATTTCTCAGGTACGTCTCAGTCCGGCCCGGCCTTCCTGACCAGGAACTGAGCAGAGCGCAGGGCGCGGAGGCTGCCCTTCTCCTGAGCTCTGCACCCAGGGCCAGCCTGGAAGCTGGCCTCGCAAGGGAAGGGGGGAGTGGCCCAGGACCTGAAGGGGCCAACGCCTTAGACGGGTGGGCTTCACCCTGGCTTACCACTTGTTAAGAATAAGAGGTGGAGGGACCACGCCTTCCTCCTGTTCCCCTGGCAGCAGCGACACCGCCCCACTACCTCCTAACCTGGGGATCTGGCTCAGAAAACCCAGCCAAGAGAGGAAGGGAGGCTAGGAGGAAGAAGACCTCAGATTTTGCAAGCAGAAAGGTGGCTGGCCTCTGGCCTCCGACCTTGATTTAGGAGGCATCTGGGGCCATCTCCAAAGCAAGCATGGTTGGAGTGGGGAGGGACCCTGAGCAAAGAGGATGCTCCTGATGGCTGCGGGCTTTCCACCTTCCCATTCCTGAGCGAGGCCCAGGTTGGCCCCCGGTTGAGGCCGGAGGAGCACTCTGGCCCTAGTGGGCAGCAGCCGGTCATCTCTGTGGGTCACACAGGCCGTGCCAATCAGCTTCACTCTCGCATCGGGCCCGGCCATGGAAAAACTGCTTGATGAAATGCTGGGCCTCTTCCTTTACTACAGATTTGAGAAGGGGAACATGAGGGCCAGTCCCCTCCCCACCACCGAGCCCCGCAAATGCTCCCTGGCCTGGTGATGCAGGCACTCACCGCTCTTTCCGGGAGGAGTCTTCTGAGTCAGCGAGTGTGAGAGGTGGCGGGCGAAGGCTTTAAACAATTCCTGGAGGCGGAGGGTGACGGGAGCAAAGGGTGCAGACCCCTGCCCTGCCCCCACCAGCGGCCCATAGCCATGACCCAAGGGCAAGGCGGACCCAGGGAAGCAGGCAGCCGGCCTTAGGACCTCGCCTGCTTCCGCCCCGCTTTGTCCTGGCTATAGGTAGGACCTGTCCTGCGCCCAGGTATCCCAGGCCCAGGAGAGGGCAGAATCCACCCACCTACCCTACCTTGGATGCAAACTTGCCCTCCTTGTAGAAAGGGGTCAAGCATTTGACCACAACATTTGCAGCCTCTTTGAGGGAGATGCCAGGGACTGGGAGAGGACAGGAGCCTTGGGCTGTAGGGTTCAAGGTGTTCTGATCGCTGGCCGAGATGCTGTCCTCAGCTTCAGCTAAGATGGAGGCGTTGGCTGAGAGGCAAGGCCTCTTCTGAGCCTGGTTCTCTGGGCTCTCCTGTGCAGGACCCAAATGGAGCATCACTCTCGGGCTCCCTGTCACGGCCCCTCCCCTCCTTCTGGAAGACTGGGCCTCAGCATCCGCTGGCTCCCTCCAGCCCAGCCCATCTACCTCTGGGATGTAAAAAGAGGGAATTTTCCCCAAATCCCTAACCGGGAGAACAGAGCAGACACCAGCCTGGTCTACAGGCCTCCTCCCCTGTGGCCTCATCCCTGTCAGTACCTGCTGGGTTCTGGGCCGCTTGCCCGTGTGTGTCTCCTTTGTGGGGGTGGGCTGGCCTTCAGGGGACCCCTGGTTTCTGGGTGGGCAGGACCTGGCCAGGGAGGAGAGCAGGCGTCAAGGGCTCCAGGCACCAGCTGCACCCTCAGCTCAGCTGGCCCAGCAGAGCACACCCTGGCCAGGGCTTCAGAGATCCAGTTAGCAAAAGAGATTCCAAAGAATTTCAGAACTATCAGAGCCCTTACCTTGACCTCTCACTGGTGCACTCCTTGGTCTGGGGGGACGCAGCCAAACACCCCAGGGCTCCATCCTCCCCTGCACACTTCTCTGGGACTGCTGGGGGTCCCCGCATTCCCTCACGGGAAAGGCTGGCACCTCCTGTCCCTGGTGCTGAGGTGAGGGGAGACGGGCTCTTGGCCCTTTGGCAGAAGCGGGCGATGTTCTGAGAATCTTTGAGGGCTGCTGCGGCTAGGAGCTGTTGCTTCTTGCTGGTCCAGGCCTTGGCAAGGGGACCGCCCTTAGAGGGACTTGTCGCCTTCCTCTCAGGGGAGGACCCCCCACAATGAGCACTGCTTCCAGGGGCCTGTCCTCTGGGCCTCGGGAGGCACTCACTGCAGTCCTCACTCTGGAGGCTGCGGGGCTGGCTGGGGAGCTCCCGCTCACCTCCCAGCACAGGCTGGGGGGCTTGCTTCTCGGCCCGCGTCTTCTCCATCAGCTCAGTGGCCGTCTGGAATGGGCAGGAGCCTTTGGGAAAACCAGCTCCCACTCGCTTGGGTTTCAGCTGTGAAGAAGAGGAGAGAGGGTTCTGACCACCAGGTCCTCGAGGACACTCACGGGCTGGTCTGGAATGGCTCTTGGGAGCGGAGGAGGGAGAAACCAGGCAGGACACTGCTAGGGGGTCAGGCTGATGAGAGAAGATATGTGGGGGCTGCAGAGGTACAGCTGGGAGGGCAGGGAGGCTGGAGGGCCTGCCCCAGGGTGCCTAGGGCCAGGGCTACGGCGCCCAGAGAGGGCCAGTGGCCATACTGTGGCTGAGGACAAGGGGAAGTGATGCCTTTCCCAGACCCAGGTTTGGGGTGGATGCCAGGACACCACTCACCGAGTACACTTGGGAGGCCGGCCGGATGTCATACTCGGTGGGCTCTGGGGGCTGGGCCTGGGCATTGTGACTTCTGGTGTCGCCTCCCACGTCATAGAGCTGCCCCTCCTTGGAGGCTCTGTGGATCTCGGCCACCTGAGTCATGGACAGGTAGGGATGCCGTGGCACCCACTAGCTCCTGAAAGCCCCAACCCAGGCTTTCCACAGGTGGGATTCTGGGGCCTGTGGCTGAAGGTCACTGGACACTGGACAAGTTCTAGTCCTCAAGGGGTTGGCTAGAAACATCTTCAGCTGGCAAAGACGGGAGGTCAGGCTCCCCTGTGTACGTGGCTGCCTTGCAGGGGGCAGGCAGACAGCCTGGGAAGGTAGAGGGGCTGCCTCTCCCACCCTAGCCCATAAGCATACCCTGCCTGGGCCCACCTTCTTTAGCACGCTGGCCTTGTACAGGTTGGCCACCTTGGCATTTCGGAACATCTCATATTCTAGCTCCACAGCCCTGGGCTGGAGATCGGGTCTGAGGGTAAGAATAAGCATAAGGCGTCAGGGGGGCCTGAGCCCTCTCTCTGTTGAGCTCCTGCTGGATTCCATCTGGGGACCCTGGAGATGGCTTCACGGCCTGGTGGGACTGGCCTTGGGCACAGGGATTCCAACCCCGACTCTGGGCACCCTGTGGCTTACTGCCCTTCAGCAGGCGCTAGCAGCCCCTTAGTCCTAGGTAAGCCTGCCCCCTGGTGGGGCAGTGAGACCTGTTGCCACTGGGAGCAGGATGCGTCACGATCCGGGGAGGGGGTAAGTAAGCCAGGAGGGATGGGGGCTCTTGTGGTCTGCAAAGGAACAAGGGCTCGGAGAAGCCTCCTAGGCCTCCGTGACCTGAGACACTCACCCATCGGCGGTCCCTGTGACCTGGCGATTACTGCTCAGAGCCTCTTCCAGAAGCCCCAGGCAGTGCTCACGGGCCTACACAGGGGAAGGAATTTTGTCACTCAAGCCTTAAGATTGGGGGAGGAGTCTGGGGGACAGAGTTGCCCACCTCTTACCTTCACAGTGAGCCTGGGGATCTTCTTGCTGGAAGCCTCTTTCAGGGGACAGTCCTCATCTGTGGGGAAGAGGGGTGGGTCACTGCACTCTACTTTCTGCTTTGTGGAGTCCCCAGCCCACCGTGAGGCATCTACACCCTGGGAACAGCCCCAAAGTCCCTGAGGACACTTCGGTACTGACCTGGAGGTACGAAGTCTTCTATCTTGGGGTCTTTGCCCTGGAAGGTGACATGAAGGGCCTATGAGGCATCTTGCTTGGCTGCAGGATGGCCCCCCATCCAGCACCAGGGTAGGGGCCGAAAGAGTGTGAACGGGGGGGCCACTGGAGACCCCATCAGGTCCCCATCCCCTTCACCTTGCGTAGGCTCATCTGTCTTTGGTAGAAGAGATTCCATTCCCGCTTGTGGGCCTCGTCTCTGCCCTCGTCCCCACTGCCTCCAGACCCTTCGTCATACCTAGGGGACAGACTAGGCGTGAGCAGCCCTGGGCCTGGGCTCTTTCCTCCTGTCATGCCTCTCTAGCGGGGCACTGGTTGTCTCCGAGAGCCTGGCCTCCAGCAGCAGCATCAAGCTCCTGGCTCCACCACGGCCCCCAGGGGCAAGGGGTGAACTACAACATTGGGGCGCCTCTGGTCTGGCCTTGGCACGAGGAGGAGAATGCCAGCCTATCTGCAGTGGGTTGGGGGCCCCTGACTCCATGGACCCTCACCTGCTGAAGCCCCCATAGCCCCGGCGGCCTCCCTCATACAGCTCAGGGTCAAAGCCATTCCCCTGGGAAGGCCCGATGCAAGTCTTGCTCCAGCTGCTTCTGTGCTCCAAGGCTTCCAGCTGCTTCCGCAGGGCCACAGGGTTCCGGCAGTGGTCACAGCCCTTGGTGCAGGCAGGAGGCGCATCCCCAAAGTACTTGGCGATGGCAGCATGGCGGCACCTGGCAGAGGCAGCACAACAGAGGCAAGGGGTGAGGGACCCAGACAGGCCAGTGTTCACTCGCCCTCTCCCTAAACTCTGTCTGAGGAGCGCTACGTGCTGGGCACCACACTCAGCATCTCGTACGCCTCCTCTTGTGCGAGCCTGACAAGCAAGGCACCATTTAGTTGCCCATTTTACGGATGAGGACAATGAGGTGAAGTGTTCCCAAGGTCGTATAACATATGGGGGAATCCGGAGAAGACAGGGTGGGACCCCCACTCCGTCCTGCTTCTCTATGGCTTCCTCCCCTCGGTCCTGGCCTCCCGGTCTGTGCTCTGTCCTCTGGCAGTGGGGTGCCCCGGGAATAGCTCCAGCTCTGGGTACAGATGCTGACTCTGCTGCTGAGGCTGCCTCCTTAGGGAAAGCATTTGACTTCCCAAAGCCTACACGTCCTTGGCTGTGAGACGCGGCAAGAGTGCCGGCTCCATGGCCGGGGCGTGGGGCGTGGGGCGTGGGGCGTGGTGCCTGGCACACACAACAAGGGTTCTTTTTAGCACCTTCACCCTTGCCCAGAGGTGGGGGAGGGAGGGACCAGCACGAGGTAGCCCTACCCCAGCCTCAGCACTCGGCTCTGCCATCTCTTGACGGCCTCTTCCTTGTCCCCAAGAAGACTGTGCCTGCGTACGCAGTCTTGGGCCGGGGGACCGCCCAAGAGCTGGAACCAGCAGCACTGAGAGCTGCCAGCGTATGCTGGTCACTGCTGAGGGCAATGGGAGACCAGCCTTGGCAGGAGTCTCGTCACATCACCCGGCGCCTCAACTCCACTGCCACGGCCCCGCTGCTGGGGTACCAGACTCCAGCTGTCTCTGACTCCCAGGAGGGGGGCACAGTTGGTCCTTGAGACAGGTGCAGAAGCCCCCAGGGTGGGGGGTAGGGTGCAGATCTAATCATGGCCCTTGCAAAGGGCCAGTCTTGCCACAGGAATGTAGCAGGAGGTGGGAGAGCACGAGAGATTGGGCAGCAGAGGCAGGGCTGTCCAGGCGCCATGTCCCGAGGACAAGAATAGGTGGCGTCACCCTCCGGCCAGAATGCCTCTCGATGTGAGCACCGCAAGAAACACTTTGAGGAGCTAAGACCCTAAGGGACAGGCACCAGGAATGAGAGCTGATGTTACACAGATCCTAGGAAGTGGGGTCTGGCTGCCTTGTTTAGAGAAGGCAGCTTTGAAGGCAGCAGATGGCAAGGAGGCCCAGGCAGCCACCAGGGGGCACTGTTCCTGCCACTCCTAAAACCAACATGCGACTCCTTCCACTAGTCTGTGCATCTGCACAGTGGCCGCCTGTCCAGCCTCTGGGAGGCTCCGGCACCCAAGTGGTGTGGCTACACGGTTGGCTTCCTTCCCCCCCCCCCCCCCCCCACCCTCCCTCAAGCCCAGACTCACTGGGGTTTTGTGCTCACACTCAAAGGGCTCCATTGAGAGCTCACAGATGCGGGCTGGGGTCAGCTCCTGTCCTGCTCCTGTCCTGCTCCGGGCACAGCCTGGTCTGCTGGGGTGGCACAACCAACCAAATGTCAAAGGGCCCTGCCAGCCACTGAGCTCTGGAGCCTGTCCCTGACGGCCAGGGCCAGGAATGAAGAGACAGCCCCAGCACTCTTTGGAAAGAAGGACATCGGCAGTGTCCTCCCTCCTGGGGTGGTGGAGCACCAGACACTTCCCCCGGCAAGCAGGCCATTCTCAAGTCACCCCTAAGTTCCTCCCCAAGGGCCTGGCCTCGTGGGTGGTCCGGCAGCTCCCCCAACTATTTACTTCCTAGGAGGGGCCAGAGGGCGGGACCAGCCAGGGAGTCTCGAGAGAGACAGGTTGGCTGGTCAGGCGGATGGGCTCAAACCCCTCCTGAGGGTAGGGAGGGAGCCAAAGAACTTGAGCGCTGTGGGGCGTCCCTCCCTCCTCACTCCAGGGCTCAGGTGGAGCCTCCCAGAGGGCATCTTTGCCAGGGAAAAAGAGAGCCGACCTCTTTTATCAGCTCTCCGCCCAGGCCCAGCCCACGACGGCTTAGCACACACCCGCCAGGAGGGAGAGGAGAGGAAGAGGAGGCACAGAAGAGACGGGTTCGCCCTTGCAGACCTCCCAGGGGCAGGGCAGCCACAGAGGAGTCTGAAGCCACCCTCGGAGGTCCCAGCAGGGATTCACTCGGCTGGGCAGGGGCAGCGGTGGCACTGGCTCCCCTGCTTCAGTGGCCGCCCCTTGTAATTTGACACTTGGATCTCCAGGACGACCAACAACAAAAAAGCTGAGGCCGAGACAGCAGCTGGCTGTCAGCAGCCAGGAGCTCCACTCCTCTGAGGAAGGCGCCCAGCAGCGGGTCAGGAAAGAGGCATCCGAGAAGGAAGGAAGAGGTGGTGGCCGGGCGAAGCCAGGCAAGGGAGGCTGCCGGGCTCCCCAGCATCCGCGGTTGCCCCTCAACCCAACACCTGAGCTCCCAGGTGAGTGGTGCCGGCCACAGATTTTGGGTGAGGGGGCCAGCCAGGGCCCCCTGCCCCAAGGGTGGAGAGCCACAATCTAGCACGATCACAGGGGCTCGTGGGGGTGCACTCGGTCAGTCTCCAGACAGCCCCATTTCAATCTGGGCTCTCCCTTCTTTTGTGGGGACCCAGCACTGGAGGGACACAGGCTGAGGCTGCAGCTCTCTGCTCAGAGTGCTTTCCTCTCTGCTTGCTGAGCAGGCAGAGGGGCCCCGAGTGCCTGCTTACTCTGCAAGTTAGTTTAAGCTTTTTCTATTCAGGGGGCTTAAACAAGGGATTTGGCTGTCCTGGCCTGGGAGAGAAGGGCTGTCTGCTCTCTGGGCCTCCCTTTTTCCCAGGATCAAGGCAAAGCCCTCTGTCCCTGCTTTCTCCCAGTGGAGGAGGCTCAGGGCAGGGTCTGCCCCGCCACTTCGTGCCCCTCAGGATGTGGCAGGACCCACAGCAGCTCTGCCCATCTGTGTCCTGCATCAGAGTGGCAGCTGCCACCCCTTGAGAGGGGCTTGGCCCGCTCATTGCCAGGTGTTCCTAGCTCAGAGCCAAGCCTGGGTGCTCCTCCCTGGGTCCATTTAGAATCCCACGACCCCCCAGGTCTCTCCAAATGCTGTGCCAGAAGCATGAGGGCCTGACCCTGAACCCAAGGTGGGGTGGGGGAGGAGGCGATGGTGAAACTGAGGCCGGTGAAGGACGCACCCGGTATGTGGCCCTGTGACACGCCATTGGAATGCTGACCCCAGCATGGCTCTCCAGCAGCCCCGGGAGCAGCCCCCTTGGGCAGGGCCCCATGAACGGAGGCTGCCTGCTCCTGCTGCCTTCTTGTCCTCACACTAGGGCTAAAGTCTCCCTTCCCCGCCCCCCAGATGTTTCCCCCAAAGCAAACAAACTAGTATCTACTAGGAAAGAAAAACAACAATCCAGGGAAAAGTGGAAACCAAGAATCAGTCCAAGTGTTCTTGGCTCAGCAGAGTCTGTGAGATTTGGCCTGAGTCGGTGGCCGGAGAGGCTAATGCCCTGCAAAGACGGCCATGCAAGGCAGAGAGGGGACAGGCGCTGGTCTGTGTTGGAGGCAGCAGACAGGACTGGGTAAGGGGGCACAGTGGTGAGCCCAGGGCTACCCCTGCTGGCTCTGATCTGTAAGACGGCCCAGGCAGGCGTGCGGGCGGGGATCAGAGTCCCTGCGGCCACAGGACATACGTGGATGGGGTCCCCTGAACCCAGGCCCTGAGCTGGAACGGGAGGGTGATACCTAGCTTCTGGGGCTACGGGAACCATCGCTAGCAGCCGGAGGTGCCTCCTCCGGTCCTGGAAAGCAGGACTGCTCTGGGTTCAAGCAGCTACTTCCCACAGCAACTTGGAGTGAAGGCAGAAAAGGGCATCGTCTGAAGGCCTGATGCGGTCAGTGCACAGTGGACATCTCTGCCTTGCTGGTCAGGCCCCCAGACGCCGAAAATCTGCCACAACCGTCAGTTTGCCTCATGACAGCTGTTTCTCAAACAAGACAATGCCCTGTGGAGCAAGGGTGGCTACAACTTTCCATGACAAAATGACAGGGGCAGAGCAAGAAACCCTTGGGGCCCTGAGCCACCGATACACCACTTATCAGTCACAAACACACCCGCCTGCCGCCTGTTCTCTTCCACAAGGGGCCTCTGGAGTTGAAGTATCAGTTTTGCAAGGAGGAAACAGGGAAGCTTCAGTACCAAATGGCAGTTGTCCGGCCTGCAGGTCACCCGCGTGCCCTGTCACAAGGCTCCCTGTGGCAGGAGATGCCACACAAAGGAATGTCTTCTGGTCCCTCCGGCCCCTCCGGCCTTCATCTCTGCCTGGCTCACTTTCCCTCCTCCACTGGCTGCCATTCCAGCCACAGAGCACCCTTCACAGGCTCCAGGAAGGGCCATGCAGGCAGCCAAGGTTGCTCTCTCTTCCCGGGGCCGTGGGAAGTCACTTGCTTGGCTGCCTCTGACCAAAGTACTCCAGAGCACAGGGCCGGCAGGGACTAGGATTTCCCTGATTCACAGGCAGGAAGTACAGTTTTGGAAGGAGTCTGGCAGAGCGAGACAGACCAGAAAGATATATACAATATCAGTATATACGTACTGATACGTACAATTATCAGTACCCCTCTGGGCTTCCCTGCCTTCCTCCCTCCAAACCTGGGAAAGTAAAAGGGATAAGAGGCAGCCAGCCTCAGAGCACCCGCTTTCCCCAGACCACAGCTGGGAACATTTACTCCCAACAGGGCAATGGCCAAGGAACATGCCGCGGGGTCACCTGACGACTGCTGGTTATATTGGGCACCAGGCGTCAGGCACCCCCTGGGCCTTGCTTTAAATAGCCCACTGGGAAGAGCGCCTGGGACCTGCTGGAATGTGCCTCCTCCCTCTTAGGAGCACAAGGCCCCTCCAGCTCCCACGGTCCCCACTAAGGCTTCTGCTCAAGCCCAAGCTGGAAATGGCAAAACATCAACTGGAAAACAAAGGGCGTTCCCCTTCAGCCTTTGGGGCAGAACATCAGTGCCCAGTGGCTCCATTCCAGTTCACAGACGGACGGAAGCAGTGGGCAGCCCTGGGTGAGACCCCAGGGCTGGTACAGCTTGCCAATTCAGCTCACCAGAGGCACCCTGGGTGCAGAAGCATGATGCCATCTGTCCGCAGCCATACGGCCTGCCTCTGTGTGGACGGGCACTCCTCCCGGAGCGGGGCCTGGGCCCCTGGGTGTGACTGCAGCATCCCCACTACACAACACCCGGAGGATGGCCGACTTCAGAGCTGAAGCTTCTGATCGACAAAGTCCACCTTTCCCGTACAGCAGAGCAACCTCGGCTCCACCTGCCTCCTCCCTGCTCTGGAAATCACACCCCTCAGACCGACAGGGTCCCCACACCACTTCTCGCTCACAAGCGGAGGCCTCCCCTCTATAACCCCTCCCCAGGGCTTTGGATGTGGAAGCACAAGTGACAAAGCTCCCGCTGCCCGGCTGGCCTCCGCCCGCTTCCTCTTTCAAGGAGTCTCTGCTGCTACATTAGGCAATGCAGGCACGGGGCCAAACAGGCTGAAAAAGCCAGACCAAGTGTAGACGGGGAGGAGAAGAGGAGCCCAACTCCTGAGCCCTGTGTAGACTCTCCCCCGCCCAGGGCCTTGGCTGGCACTTCTGTTCCCTCCTCCAGGAATGCGGAGGAATAGTCTCCTGGAAACGGGAAGTGGATGAGCAGAGAGGCTCCGGAACGAGAGGGGACCGCCCTCCTTGTGCAAGCCAGCTTCGTCGGTCAAAGAAGGGGGACGCTGTTTAGTGTGACCAGAGAAGAGGGGCACCATGCTCGGGAAGGAGTTTGGTGAACCTGAGACAGACACGTGCCATCTGTCCCTTTGGCAACAAGTCACATGTGGTTCCCAAAGAACAGGTGTGGCCCTGGCCTCGTGAGTGATGTGCCTGAATAAAGACAGTGCCCCAGACTCCTGAGCGTGGAATGGGGCTGATCGTGCAGAGCACACCTGCGTTCAAAGAGTTCTGGGGCCCTCGTCCCTGCACTGGGCCCACCGCGAGGGCAGTGTCCTCAGAAAGCTGCTCCGTGGGCTGACTTAACCTTGCGAGCCACAGAGCAGGCTGCCTGAGACAGGTCTCCATCAAGAGACAGCATGGGGAAGTAGGGGGAGCCTGGCTAGGCCCCCATCCTGCTGTGCAACCTCAGAGGAATCACTGTTTCCCATATGTAAAGGGAGGCAGGAATGAATGACACATGGGATTCTAGGATCTCTGGCCTCTTTGTATACTTGAAAACTGGGATCTTGATCGCCTTTACAGAAATGTGCTAACCCCGGGATGGGGCATAAGAGAAGATAGAAGGCTCTAACAGGAGACTCCCACTTCCGACAGGAAGCCCTCTAATCCTCCATGGACCCATCATCTGCCGGCTACCCCCAACATTGCTTAAAATACAGCTCCCATCTCCAGCTTGCCCCCTCCCGACCCCCCACCTTCCTTTACCTTACACACCACAAATATCCTGGGAATGAAAGACACAGACGAAACTCCCCAAGGTGTTTGGGGAGGGTCTTTGACAGTGTATAGGGTGGGGGTGTGACTGTCCCCAAAGGCTTCCTGTGGTGGCCAGACCCCCCCCTCCACAGACACACACCGCAAGAGGGGAAGCCCACCTGCTGGGCACAAATGTGTGCCAGGATCTGTGCTTCCTGCCGCTGTGCTTCCGGGTGTCAATCCTCCCAACAGCCTTGAAGGATGGCTATCTCATCTTATGTAAGATGAGGAAAAGAAACAGACTCAAAGAGACAAAGTGACGCGTCCACGTCATGAAAGCAGAAAGGGGCAGGCATTCAAATCCAGGATGATCCAATGTTCCACGGGGTGCAGGCGACCTTGTGGAAGAGGAGACACAGGAGGCACATGCCAGCTGCCATCCAGGTCCGGAAGGACTATGAGGCAGAAGGTGGGGTAGAAGCATCCTGTGTGACCACAGGCAGGACCAACGAGGTCAGGAGGGCGTTCCACCTTCCAACGATCAGCACTGCTCCAAGGAGGAACAGGGCAAGCTGCCGTAGCAGATGGGACTCCCCATCTCACCCGGAGGGGGCTCAAGCAAAGGCTGCACACCAGAGGGAGTGCAGAGAGCCAGGTACAGGGTAGGGGGTTCAAGCAGATGACCTTCAAAGCAGTTCTAAGACAGCTATACTGTGGCGATAGTACCAGGAGTGACCAGCTTCCAAAACTGCAGTCATCTCGGAAGAACCTGCCTGGCTAAGACCCAGGACAAGGCGGCAGTAATTAGATCCTGAGGTCTGGCACAAGACCTTGGCCACCTGTTACGCTCCCTTGGATTAGAGCTGCCTTGGTGAACAAGTTCAGGCTGGGTTGGCACCAGGCTGTCCCTGGTCCATCCCTGAAGAGGCACTGGCTCCCTCATGCCCACAGGGGAGGCAGAAGGGGAAACAAACTCCTGATGTACAGCTGGCCCAACTCACAGACTCAGCCCGGACCTTCACCGTCAGCCTATTGGGCACCCTTAGACAGGAAGAGGCTCTCAGTCATCACCTGGAAGGCTGAGTTGCTACATACCTGGGGCGAGGGTGGGGACACAAGGGACTCTCCTGGTCAGGCCAGAGGAGCAGGTCTGAGCCAGCAGAGGAGGGCCTGGTAAACCAGCCATGGGATGTGTGATCCCGTCCCGAGAGGCCTCCTTGGGGAAAAACTGCGGGGTACACAGCATCATCTCTGCCTCTTCAAAGAATACCATATGAGTAAAGAAACTGAGCTGGTGGGAGAAGTGGAGGGCCCTGGAGGGGCTCAGACCACCTCCCCCAGTTAGTTCTCACCCAGCTGACCCCTGCCAGGAGCCCCATGTGCCCACTCGAGGAAAAGCCTGACTCCTTCTGCCCCACATATGATGAAAGGCAAGAGCACCAGGCTGGAATCCTAAAGCCCGGTCACCCCACTGGGAACCCAGGGGAGGCACCAAAGTCCTGAAGGACCCAGGAGTCACCGGGGGAGCCGTGCCAGCCCAAGGTGCTCAGCAAACCCAGGAGTAGGACAGTGAAGCCACCCCACCTCGAGGTCGGAAACCTTGGCCAACCGTGGCCAGCTGGCAGACCTCTCCTGTGTCTGGCAGTGCCACGCAGCCTCCGGCAGCAGGGCCTCAGGCTCCCTGCCATCACCAGCCTCCCTCAGTCCGGGTGGTGCCAGGTGGGTGGGGGCTGAGGGCCACCACTGGGTGGAGGGCCCTGATGGCTCCCTCCCCAGTCATGAGCCACCAGGGGTACAGGGGTGAGACCCGACTAACTCGTTCCACTGGCTGCAGGTGGGTGGGGACTCCCAGCCCCGTCCCGGTGAGGCCTGGCAGGAGCCCGGCAGGAGCCCGATGCACCATGGCAGCCGCCAACTTTGTGCAGGAGATGCGCTCCATGGGCGAGAAGTTGCTGCTCAAGCTGCAGAAGCTGCCCCAGGCCGAGCCTGTGGAGATCGCGGCCTTCTCGGTCATCCTCCTTTTCACAGGTAAGCTGAGGCTCTCACGTTCTCCCCAGCGCCCCTGGTTCTTCCTGGCATCCGGGAAAGGTGAGACCACAGTGCTGGCCAGAGCGCTGGCCGAGGTGGCTGGGTGTCCCCCAGACAGAGGAGAGGCAGATGTCCCTGGGGGGGGAGCCAGAGGATTTCCCGAATCCTTGACAATTTGCTGATGGGGTGCAGAGGCAACCCCAAATCCCAACCAGGGGTGAAGGGAGAGAAGCTCAGGGCAGCAGAGGCGGCATGACAGGGAGGTCAGTGCCTAGTGGCTGGCACGGGGACAGTCGACACCTCTTGCCAGACTCTCAAGCATTTCTGACGAAGCCAGATCTCTGGCTAAAGGCCCTTCCCACACACCTCTGGAGGGCTTTATTTAGAAGTAAGGCGTATGTTCTTTCTCTTCCCTGCCTGAGCTTCCCGTGCTCTCTGCTTCTCTCTCCTAACCCCCCAGCCACGGTGCTGGTGCTGCTGCTGATCGCCTGCTGCTGCTGCTGCAGGGACTGCTGCTGCCCTGAGCGCAGAGGCAGGAAGGTCCAAGTGCGGCCCATGAGCCCATCGTGAGGGACAGAGACGAGGAGGAGAAGCTGGAGAGGAAGCTGCCGAGCCATGATCCCACGTGCCAGCCTGGCCCCAGCCCTGGCCCTGCCCGGGAACCCGACACCTGCAGCCTTATCAAGGAAACAAGGGCTGGTACGGCCACCAAACTCTCACCTGCCAGTGGATACTGGGTGCCAAGGAGGAGTCACCTGTTTAAAACCTGAGGAAACAAAAACTGGGGATCCTTTCCCAACTTGCACTTTCTAACAAAACACAGAAGCGGGGGCCCCATACCTGGAAGGAGAACAGCCTGCAGCGGTGGGGAGCCAGCCCAGAGGAGCAGGCCAACCAGAGGGGCTCTGTGCAACAGCTGCTGGACCCCAAGCTTCCCACCGGAGGGGAGCACGTCAGTATTCTAGTCCGGTATTTGCCCGTTTCTATCTCAGTAAAAGCTTTCTGGTTGTGTTTCTGCGGCGCCAGACTCCCTGGCCTGGGCTCTGTGCTTCTGAAGGGCAAGGTGCCAGAATTCCAGGGGTGTGGCCAGTGACTGTCCTTGCCAGGCCTCTATTCTCCCTGTGCCCACGAACGCTGGAAAAACACAGGCAGGAATGCCACGCAAGAGGGAACCAGGGGAAGGAGAGGGTGAAAATCCATCAGCACTGGCTGCTACCAAACGCTGGCTACAGGTGCCCCCTCTACAGTGATGGGGCAGTGTTTGCCCAGGTGCCAGGCTCAGAAACGCCACTCAACAGCTTCAGCTGCCATTTACTTTAGCCTGAACACCCCACACCCACAGGCTCAGGACCCTGGGTCTTTCCAAACTTCTAGAGTAAGAGAAGTCAGGCCCCTACTATTGCCTGCATATATATATATTGCCTGCATATATATATAACCTGCATCCCAACCCCTCTGTCCTTTCCCCCATTGTGTCCCAGGCTGTCTGGCCCCAAATCCTCACCCTGCCATTCACCGGCTGCATGAACACAGGTTAGTGACTCGACCTCCCAGAGCCACGTTTCCTCCCCTGTGGGTCGCAGCCAATCCCGGTAGCTGCCTCCTCGGGTGAGCTTATGAGGATAAACTAAGGTGACCTATAGGGAGTGCTTGGCACGGCACGGAGCATATCCTAGTCCTTATCTGCTCCTCTAAACAAGAGGGGCATGGACCCCAGGAATTAGGGTAGGGGAGGCAGAAAGCTCCCGTAGTACCTCCCCCTCCTTCCGCAGAGAGGTCTGCAGTTTTTATATGCCTCCGTCATCTTGCCCTGCCAGCCCGTGCTCTGGCTGCCTAGGGGCACGGCCCCGTCTACCCAAAAACCAGGGAGCGGAGAGGGGGATGCCAGGCTCTGCCCCTGCCCCTGCCCCTCCCCCCATCTCCAGCTGGCAGGCAGGTGAGAGAAACTGGCTGGCTGGTTTCACTTCCTGGTGTCCACTGACTTGTCTGACGGGTTTGGTTTAGGTTGAAGAAGCAGAGAGGAAGTTCTTCCATACAAAAGAAAAGAAATTCAAGAACCGGCTGTACCCTCCACCCCCCACCACCCTACAAGAAGGGGATTCAGAATTACAATGATACCGTTGATAATGATGATGATGAAGGTGGTGGTGAGGGTCAAGTGAGTGGAAATTTACTGAGGGCTTCTGTGTGCTCTGCCACCACCTGAAGTGTTTTCATGCAGTTGATTCCGTATAATCACCACAGCCTCAATGCCATAGATACCATCATTATCCCCATTTCGGAGATGAGGAAATTGAGCCCTAGCAACAATATGCAACTTGCCTAAGTTCAACCAGCTAAATACAGCAGAGCCAGCCTCTGGGCCCAGCCCAGCACAGCCCAGCCCATCCAGCTGCAGAGCCCCTGCTCACCACACCGAGGGCCCGGCCGCAGTGCAGATAAGGCGCTGATCCCATTATCCTCCATCAACCAATCCTAGATCCCACACCCTAAAGTGTGCTAAAATCATCTCCCGGTGAGTGGGTGGAGCCCAAGAGGTAAGAGCTAGGGTGGGGCCCAACTAGGTCTCCCTCCCAGAAGAAAAACAGGGAAGGCGGGAGGGACTAGATGGGAAACCACTGCCCTTTTCAGTCCAGGCACCAATAGCTTAACAGCTGAGTCCAAATACGATGGATGCCAGTAGGCATCAAACTGGTTCACGCTGAGCCCTGCCACTAATGGCTCCCCACAGCAGTCCTGGGCAGGTTTCCATCCCATTTGGCTCAACAAACCACATCTGTTCCAGAGTGACAGCAGCCTGGCACCCTCCCAGCAGAGGTCTTCTCGGAAAGAGAGGCATGGAGAGGAAGGAGCAATCTTCCCATTGTGGGAAAGGACAGAGAGGTATAGCCATGGTGGCCACGGAACGGGAGGCCAGTGGGCTGTCTGAGCCCCAGAGAGCATCTGGCTATCACGGGTCTCCATTCCTGCCACCAGCCGCCCTGCAACGATCTCCCCTCGAAGTCTGCCTGCGCTCACTGCCACACTGGTTTCCCAGCCTCTTCGGGCCTCCCCTCCACAGTAGTCTCTCAGATCCTCCAAAGGTCTGCACTGGAGATCTGTGCATTTTACCGTCTGTATATTCTGCCTCATCAGAAACCACAGAACCACCAGGGCAAGAATCTCATTAGCAAAAACTGGCAGAGAGCACATAAAACACTCTTCCCCTAAATCTGTTTTCTTAAGCATTAACATTTGAGAGCAACCTACAATAAAAAGTCTTCAGGACATATTTGCATGCCGGTAACACAAATCCAGACCACACCAAACGGAAGACAAATTAATTTTGTTCTTAAAGGTTCCTCACCCTCCTCGGGACCCGCTGCCTGCCATGAAACACTGCGTCCTAATCCTACCTCTCACGTAGTCTTCACATCTTGACCTAAACCTCCTATAGGGTTTCCTTCAGCCCCCAGGTCAGGCTATGCCACATACACTCCAGCGCCCTCCACCTCTTTCCATATCGTTCCCTTTGTGACACTCATTTCCGTAGAATCTTCCGATCAGGGCCAGCAATTGACTGAGTTGGCTAAAGCAACTTCTGTGTACGTGACACATACATTCCCCACACATCTCATTTTAAATAGAAACATATACATGCACATTCCTTGGCCAATCTTTTTGATGTAGGGCCAAAGTCTTTTCTCTGAGTGTGGGTTTGCCGGCCAGAGTTCCTAAATTGTCTATTTGCTAACTATGGTTACTGCAAAGCAGAACAAGAACTTGAAGACATCCACAAAGAAATCGGAGTGTGAAATCCTGGATTTTTACAAAACGTTTCCACTTGTCTTGCCACATCTGTTTTGACAGAAATACTGAGTGATTCCAAAGTCATTCCAAGTGGTCAAATAGGTGCTTCTAGAAATAACGCTCTCCCTCCACTCCCTTTGAGGTGCAGCACAGAGCTTCAGAGTACAGACTGCAGCGGAGCTGAACAGCTGGGTTTAAATCCCAACACAGTTACTTCTTAGCCGTATGACCTTGGGCATGTTGCTTAACCTCTGTGCCGGTTCCCCAGCTGTAAAACTGGGGTTTCAACTATTACTGTTGCTCCATTTTCTTGTTTTATGTAATGTTAAATGCAATTATGTAATATCAATAACAAGTACAAATGCCACAAACAGGTTTGGGAACAAACTACTGACTCCTGACAAGCATCCAACTTAACTGAAGGAGGAAGTACGTGGGTGTGCTAGCGACCGGCCTGCTGGCTGGGAGCGCTCAGCAGTCAAAGGCATGAGTCAGTAAGTTTTAAGGAGGGAAACTCGAAGCATCAGGTAGGACCATGATAGGTAAAAAGGACTTTACTGAACTTCCTTGTCATCTGTCTCCTCCAACCCTGGATGTACGTTAGAATCGCCTGGCAAGCTTTACAGAGACCGGGGCTCTGACGTGCCCAGACGGAAAGAAGTGGTACCAGGGAGGGCCTGGGCACAGGTTTTAGAAAAGCTCCCAGATGATTCTAATGAGCAAGGCTGAGGACCAGTGTGCTAGAACGGAAATCTGGGCAGGCAGGACCTGCCTCCCTTGGTTCACAACTCCCACGCGGTACCTGCCGCAGTTCCTGGCCACACCAGGCACTTCAAGCCTATCTTTTATGGAATGAATGGTGGCTACCAGGTTCCCATTCCCACTTTCTAGCTGCCCATGCAGCAGCTGAGGTCATGCCTGGGAGGCCAGCAAAGGCACTAGGGAGAAATTAAGCCTCCAGGACCCTGGGGCCTTAATGGTGGTAAACACCTCCACAAAAAAACTCGCTCCAGGAGGCACCAGCCGGAGGCTTGTTAATCATTCACCAGCACCCCAGCACCGCAGGGAAAAGCCTGTGTGCGGCTCCAGCCCAGGGCTTCCCGGAGTCCTGGGCTTCCTGCGCTCTGGTGGGGGCCTCCGGGTCTACAGGTCAGCAGCTGGACAGAGAGGAGAGAGAGGCAGGACCCAGCCACGGGTGAGGCGGACGGTGGCTTGAGGCAAAGGTCCTGGATCCAGTCTCCTTCCCCACCCTACCCCAAGCCTGACTTCTCTGAGGACGCCAGAACATAGGTACCCTGAGCAACCCCCAAAACGACATCACAAAAGAACAGAACGCAGCTGAAGAGGTAAGTATGGAAGGCAGAGGAACACAGTTGCTAGGCAACAGGCCCTGGCCCACCTTTGTTCGCTCTGGTGACTGCGATGAGGTCTGATCAGGGACACTCGACAATGCCAACACCTTTTCCTCCCAAGAGTTGCTTCTTTGAGTCAGGGTGTGGCTCGGCCCCCAAAGTGCAGGGCCTGAAGGATTACCCTGATCGGCCCACTCTGAGGACACAGGAGTGTTAACAGCAGAATCAGGTAGTGACGCCTGCCTTCTCGCCATTACTCCCTCCAACTGGCTATCGGCCTGCAGCCTGCCGACTTTAGCTGTTTCAAGATTAGCTGGTTCTGTTTCCACCTGACTCCAAGGGAGTTTACCGAGGCCTCAGCTGGAGTCAGTCCACCCCTCAACTCCTATGCCGATCTCTCAAAATTCTCCCCAAATGTTTGGCAATTGAGGCAGGGAAAACAGCAAGGATCTGCAGCGGTGCATTTTAGATCCTAGCTGAGTAGATCTCAGGGATGGTCAAGTTCTGGCTCACACCAGGGCTGTTCAAAATACAGAGGCAGTCTCTGGGAGAAGCCCCTGCACTCAAGGACTCTGTCCCCTCTTTTCCAGGTTCACATGGACAAACTGATGACAAAGCAGGACATCTGGAATGATGAGTTCTGGCAGAACCCCTGGGACCAGGGAGGCCTGGTAGTGATCATTTTATTCATCACCACGATCCTGTTTCTCATTGTGTTTGCCATTGTATTTGGTTTTCTCCCTCCGCTTGAGAACATCAACCGGTGTGAAGAGTTGTGACCTGACTTTCTGGAGGCCAAGAAGGGGACCACCTGTTAGATACTCTCGAAACACCATGTACGTTTTCTTCAAAGCCTTTTCAGAGTCTGCAATTATACACTTTTATTAATGTAATTAATTAATTTGTTAACTAATATTATCTGATAAGTGCCTGCCTTCCCCACTGGACCGAACACCACAAAAGCAGGTGATGGGTTTCTGCTCACCATTGTATGCCCATATCCGATGTGCCTCACATACAGTCCATTTCAAACAATATTTGCTGGTTGAATAAATGAATGAATGAATAAACGAGCAAACAAATGGATGAACAGAAGGGTGCTGGGCTGTTGGCTCCCCTAGACCACAGCCCCCAGATGGACAGAGCCCAATTCAACTGAGGCCTAAACACAAAGCTATTCTGTCTCAGACAAGGTACAGAAAGGCCTCTTAGCTGGAAGTTGCTTCAAACCTAATTACTGTTCATTTCAACACTAAAAGGTACAGGGCGCGGTCACGAAGGAACAGATATACTTCACGGCCACAGTGCAGACAAACTAGCTGCACGCAAAGAGAGGAAAACCGCTGGATGCCCCACCTTGACCCCATTCATACTGAGTGTCTTTTCTGTTGGTCCCAGAGCTGCCCGTGCACCCCAGACCCTACAACGGCACTTTTGTAGAAATGTACCTGCCTCCGCCAGAGCCACCATACTGGCCTGCCCCTTGCTGCCAGGTGCCCTCCCTTAGCAAACAGCTGCTTCAACTTTAACCACACACCAGGACTATTCTTAGAAAAGGAGCGAATATGTGGTGGAGAAGGGGCGATACACCATTTATGTAGTAATGAAATGTTCCTTTTTACTCAAAGAGCAATTCCACATTCAGCTACACCAGCATTGTTTATGCCATCCTGGGAAGTCCTGGAATCCGGAACCCTCGCACGTAGCAAACAAGGTAGGAGAGATGAGGCCGCACGTGACGCAGCAGGAGGCACACTGATGCCCAGACCCCCTGAGGCACTAAGGGGCCCCAACTCCCGAGTGTGACACAGGAGATATAAAGGCAGAGCCCCCAGGAGGACCTGTCCTGCTGTCTGGTGGGCTGCTGCAGCCCAGAGGGATACGGCAGAGCTGACCCTCCAGGCAGCCCTACAGAGCCTCCAACTCATCCCCGAAAAGAACCCAGCAGGGTTATTTCCAGCAGAAGGGACTCTGACAATTAGCAAGGACACTCGGCCCTTTCATTACGAGTGCTTTCTTCAAGGAGCCCGAGAGAGCCTAGTTTAACAACTCCCTGTACTAGTGCCTGAGAAGGACTCTGGTAGTAATCGCTGTGGGCAAGGGGGCCAACCACCTCTGCTGGGCACGGCTGTGCCACAGAGGCCCAACGAGAGACTCAGTCCGGGAGCCACCAACTCTTTGGTGAGTCGGAGGGGATGGGAATCAAAACATGTGGCCCAGCCAAGTACCTCTCTGATTTCCAGAGGAGAGCCCCAAACATCTGTTAGATACCAGTTCTATGTACCTAATCAGCCCCATGCTTCAAGAATCTAGTCTTGCAGAAACCAAGATGGGATTTGTATATGAAATGTGCATGTCACTAAAAATCAAATACCGGGATTAGTGGTATCTGTCTACTGTGAGCTCTATGACTGTGACCTCACTGGGTATTGGTCTGTTCATTTCAAAGTCTGAAGCAGTCCCTTCTGCCTCATCTACCTCACAGGATTTTCCAACAAGGTCTGACCAAAGGGCTGCACACATGCAAAGTGCTCCCAGCTTGTCCAGAATCTTCCTGGGTGTCCCTTGTTTCCAAAACCTGTCCTGCCACAACCTGCCTGTCACTGAGCAGCCATCAGGCTCTTTCATTCCTCCATCACCAGCACATACAGATAAGATACAGAAGTGGGTTCCAAGTGGGTGGGCTGGCATTACGACAGAAAAGCTGACTTCTATTCAAGCTTATTATCCACCCCCAAGACAGAAGCTGGGCCATGCGGCTCTGTTTGGGTCCAGGATAAGAGTGACCCCTACTCAGTGGTCCAGTGGCAAATGGTGATCACATGCTAATGGCACAGGACCAGTCACATGATTCATGACTGAGCCACCCATGGGACCAGCCACTCCAGAAGTGGAACATAATGTCGCCACACTGCCAGTTTCTGGGGCCTTCCTGGGAAGGGTACTGACTTCCAGGCTGCCTGATGGGCAACACCCCACACAGTCGCCTTCAGCAGGTAGAGGTGCCTTAGTCGCCCAAGAGCTGCCCTACATTAGCTGGTTAACTAGTAGGTGCTGGGGGAGGAAAGAGCTCATTAACACATGGATCCACATATGAAATAAGTCACTCACCCCAATTCTTCACAGAAGGCCACCAGGGCATCAAAGGCCAAGACAGCAGCTTTATCAGATGCTTTGCTCCCTCTCTTTTCCTGGAGACAAGAAACGACCACTTAGCAAAAGTCTTACATAATTGACGTACCTTGCAGCCTAAAAGATGATGAGGGAGAAAAATATCAAATGACAGTAAAAAGGTCACTTATAACATGGTGCCCCCAAACCTGACCATGCATCAGAATCACCCAGGTAATTTTTCTTTTTAAACGTTTATTTTTGAGAGAGACAAAGACAGAGCATGAATGGGGGAGGGGCAGAGAGAGAGGGAGACGTAGAATCCAAAGCAGGCTCCAGGCTCTGAGCTGTCGGCACAGAGCCTGACGTGGGGCTCAAACCCATGAACCGTTAGATCATGACCTGAGCCGAACGAAGCTGGATGCTTAACCGACTGAGCCACCCAGGTGCCCCTCATGTAGGGCCCACACCCAGACCTAAATTGAACTTTCTGAAACTGGAGCTTTTGGGAGTTTATTTTCAAAAACTGCTCAGGTGGTTCTCACGCAAAGGGCCCAGAGACTGGCATTTGGAAACCACTGTGTAACATGATCTGAATTTTTTTAAACATTTTATTTTTAAGTAACCTCTACACCCAAAGGGGCTCGAACTCACATCCCCAAGATCAACAGTCACATGCTCTACGTACCTGTCAGCCAGGCACCCCAATACAATCCAATATAATAGTAAATTTAGTAGTAAATACACACACAAGTGTGCGTACTTAGATTTGAAGGAACACACATCTATGTGTGTATGGAAGGATGAATACTACAGTGTTAGAAGTGATCTCTGGGCACCTGGTGGCTCAGTATGTTAAACATCCGACTTCAGCTCCGGTCATGATCTCACGGTTCGTGAGTTCAAGCCCCACGTCGGGCTCTATGCTGACAGCACAGAGCCTGGAGACGACTTCAGATTCTGTGTCTCCCACTCTCTCTGCCCCTCCCCCATTCATGTGCATGCGCGTGCACTCTCTCTCTGTCTCTCAAAAATAAACATTAAAAAAATTAAAAAGAAGTGATCTCTTGTGTTGGGATTGTGCATCATTTGCCTTTTTGTACATGTCTATTTGTCAAAGATTCCTTTCAAAAAAAATGTGAAATTTTTTAAACTACAGAAAAAAAAAAACCCAAAAAGTAAAGAAAATAAAACAGATACTGATATCTGAGATCTATTGACTCTCTGCTTCTGGAAGGTGGATCATCCCCACCTCCCAAATGCGCACAAATACGTGTACCTCTTTCATTCTGCCAATCTGTTTATATCACAATTTCTTCTTAATTTTCCCTACAGTGAGGAAACTATGGCAACATTGATCAGAGCTAAACCATTTACATTTTTACATTTTCCATGATCACATATCCTTTCTTGTACAACTTTGTTCCCTAAAATTAATAGCTGTTTCATTTTTTACTTAGATTTTAGTATATTACTACTTCACCCCCAAATGTTGTGCTATCATGAAAACTGCATGTCGACAGGGTCAAAGATAGTAGGTTCCACTTTTATTTTTAGAAACTCCTCCCCTGGAGCCCTTTTGTCCCCCCTGATTCAACCCGAACTGCTGTCCTCTAGGTCTGGAGCACAACTGAGACTGCCCTTCAGTGTCGTTCCAGGACATTCCTCTTGACTCGCTGGGGGTCAGATCTCTATCTTTCCCTCTCCAATTACTGCCTCTGTGGTGGGGGACATCCTTCAGTAGCTTCTCCACAGGAGGGAGCTTCTTGAAATCTTGTGTTGGAAAATGTTTTTTTCCCCCCCCTTAATCATAAAGTCTAATTATGGTTCAGAAAAAATTGAGCAAATAACTTTTTCTGAAAACATATACTGACTGTGTGTAGACTGCAGTTATTTGGGAGAAGGGAGCTGGTAAGTTAAACCACCCTATTTTCTATTCTGAAAATCATATAAAATCCCAATTCCCATCTGATTATAGAGATACATGTGTCCAAAATGGCTGAGAATAAATACAACAAGAAAGATAAAAGCTGCAAAGCTAAGAGCATGTAATGGGCTCCAAGAGAAAGTCTCAGAAATACCCAAAGTGGCAACAAGGAACATTTGGCTGGAACCTGAAGTTCTTTTCAGTCATCCTTGTCTTTGGCTCCGTGTTTAACGATGGGCATGAACTCAGTGGAATTGGGATGTCCCTTCTTGTCCACAGCTGCTCTTCCGTGTAGCAACTCCACTTCCACACCTATAACCCAGCCTCCCAGCATTGTCTGCAGCCCTCAGGTAATTCCAGCAGGTGCCAGTCACTTCTTCATCAAAAGCATTTCTTCTGGATCTGTGCCATTTAACTTTTCACTGAATACAGTGAGGAACGTGGTGAAATTTATGGGCCCTGGAACCTCATTCATCATGGCATCCAGATACTCATCAGTTGGATTCTTCCCCAGGGAGGCAAGCATATCATGCAAATCTTCCTTGATAATGAAACCATCTCTGTTCTGATCAATCACGTTGAAGGCCTCTTTGAATTTCTGAGTCTGTGACTGATCAGACATGGCGAACATGTTGGATTTTGCACGCTGCGGATGCTTCTTGGTGGTCTTGGTGTTTGCCTTTCTGCTTGATATGGTGGCAGTTAAATCCCTGCACAGCCTTGAGAATCTGAGCACTTCCGTAACACCCCCCCCCCCCCACGCCATTATCAACACCCTTCTATTCCCAGAGCTTCTAAAAACAAACACTTCCAGCCTCTGCTTAGCAAACCGGAAGTCAAAAATGTCTTTAACCTGCCTTCACACTAACCTGGCTGGCTGAGTAGGAAATTCTAGGTTGGAAACAGCTTATTTTCTAGGTTGGAAGACACTGCCTCATAGTTTCTCATTTCTGGTATTATGATGGAGAAAACTGGTGCTGTTCTGGCCCCCAGTCCTCCACATATCACCTCTCTGGGAGCTTTCTGATCTTCTCTTTGACTCAAATGTCTTAATAATGAGTCTAGTGTGAGTTCTTATAACTCACCGTATAAGTTTTAAATAAATACCTTATACCCAATCACCTTACTACATCTTTTCCTTGTCTAATTTGAATTTCAGATAAAAGGGACAAGTTAATCACACCCCCTTTGTTCATGGCAAAGTATCATTCTTGGTCCTTGCAAAGCCCCTTCCTTCCCAATCCCTACTTGCATTCACCTTCCCTCCCCATTTATTCATTTATTTATCTATTCAAAAAACATTTATCATGCATTTACCATGTTCCCAGCACTGACCTGGGCATTACAGATACACAGGAAACTAAAGGTCCCTGCGCTCATGGAATTTACATTTCAACAGAGCAGATACAGAATAAGCAAATCTACAATGCCAAATCATAAACATGATTTACCTTGTGACTTTTTTTTTTTTTTTTTGCTTTTTAATAGTAGTTTCAACATTTTACTATTATTTATAATGGGGTTTGTTTTCACAAATTTAGAAAAAATTTTATTTAAATCTAACTTACTTGACACAGAGTGTAATAATGGTTTCAGGAGTAGAATTTAGTGATTCATCACTAACATGTAACACCCAGCGCTCATCCCAAGTGCCCTCCTTAATGCCCATCTTCTATTTAGCCCATCCCCCCACCCAGCACCTCTCCAGCAACCCTGTTTTCCATATTTAAGATTCTCATGGCCTCCCTCTCTCTTTTTATCTTATTTTTTCCTTCCCTTCCCCTATGTTCATCTGTTGTATTTCTTAAATTCCACATGTGAGTGAAATCATATGGCATTTATCTTTCTCTGACTTATTTTGCTTAGCATAATACACTCTAGTTCCATTCACATTGTTGTAAATGGCAATATTTATTATTTTTGATTTCCAAGTAATATTCCACTGTATATAAATACCACATCTTCTGGGGCGCCTGGGTGGCTCAGTAGGTTAAGCGTCCGACTTCAGCTCAGGTCATGATCTCACGGTCCATGAGTTCGAGCCCTGCGTCAGGCTCTGTCCTGTCAGTTCAGAGCCTGAGGCTTGCTTCGGATTCTGTGTCTCCTTCTCTCTCTGTCCCTCCCCCACTCAAGCTCTGTGTCTTTCTCTATCAAAAAATGAATAAACGTTAAAAAAAATTTTTTTTTAATAAAAAATAAAAAATACATCTTCTTTATCCATTCATCAGTCAGTGGACATTTGGGCCACACTTTGGCTATTGTTGACTGTAAACATTGCTGCTGTAAACACTGGGGTGCATGGGAAACATTGTTGTTTTTTTTAAAGCAAGATACGAGCTCTCCTGGGCCCTCAGCTATGTCTCTGGCCCCATAGTGAGCATGTACTATAATTTCATCACTGCTTGTGGCTGGGTATTTAATTTGTTCCCCAGCTGCAGTCCTCATGACCAATGCTACCACACAGGCCCTTGAGCCCATGAGCCTGTGCATTGCCACTTTTATTTCAGGTGATCTGATCCCAGAAACAGGGTATCTGGGGTCAAGGGTACCTGTATGTTAAAGAGTAATAATACTCCTAGAGTGCTTCCCCCAAGACTGCAAACACTTCCTTTTTCTCCTGGCAAAGTGCAAGCCCTCTCCTGCACATGCCCCAAGCAACAAGTGTTAGAGCCCTTTCACAAGTGTGTCACTTTAATTTGCATTTACCTGATTATTATTGAATTTGAACATCTCTGGATGTGCCGTTTGGCTGAGCTTTTCTGGGAACTTGCTTTCATACACTTTGCTTCTTCCTGTTAGTTGGTGAAAGCTCTCCATTTATCCTCAACTTCAACCTCTGGTATGGGTTTTACAGTAACTAGTTTTCCAGATCTGTTTATCTGCGGGCTTTGTTTATGGTATCTTTTGCCACATACATTCTTTTTCATGGGTTGAGGATTTACAGAAGTTCAAGAACTTCAATTAAAATACTTTTTTTTTAAGATAGATTTCTGAGTTTCTAATTTTCAGTACAAAACTATTTCAAGCCTAAGGTTACACACTGGAATAAAGTCTCTTGTAAAATATTGTTTATTTTTTACATGCAGGTCCTTAATCTGCCTTCTATATAAGGTGCCAAATGGAGCACTTTTATTTTACTCCAGAGGGATGTCAGCACCACCCACTAGCCAATCCCTTTGTTTTCCATTAAACTGAACTATCGGCTTCATCAAATATTAAACTCTCACATGTTTTGGGACTCATTTCTTTCCTCTTTAACATTAATTTTTTTTTTTTTTTTAGAGAGAGAGCGTGCACAAGTGGGGAAGAGAGGCAGAGGGAGTGAGAGAGAGAATCTTAAGCAGGTTTCGCACTCAGCACGGAGCCTGATGCAGGGCTTGATCCCACAACCCTTAGATCATGACCTGAACTTAAGTCGAGTCGGATGCAGGGTACCTGGGTGGCTTAGTTGGCTGAGCATGTGGCGGCTGATTTCAGCTCAGGTATGACCGTGGGACTGAGCCCTGCATCAGGCTCCGCGCTGAGCATGGAGCTTGCTTAAGACTCTCTCTCCCTCTGCTCCTTTCCCCTGCTGGCTTGCTCTCTCTACAGAAAGGAAGGAAGGAAGGAAGTAAGGAAAACTGTATCAAACATAAAAGAAATTTTTTTTAAGTTTATTTATTTGAGAGACAGAGCATGTGAGTGGGGGAGGGGTAAAGAGAGAGGGAGAGAGAATCCCAAGCAAGCTCTGAACTGTCAGCACATGGGGTTCAAACCCACAAACTGAGATCACGACCTGAGCTGCAATCAAGACTCAGACACTTAACCAACTCAGACGCTTAACCTGAGCCACCCAGGCGCCCCATTCTGGGACTTATGTCTAATTCTCTTGTCTGTGCTACCGCTTTAGTCTACTACATGGATTTGGTTATAGCCGCATCCCAGCATGTTCTGACACTGGGTTAAGCTCGTCGCCTTCACCATTCTTGCTCTTAAGACTTTTCCTGGCTGTTCTTGGGCTCTGATTCTTTCATACAAATTCTAAGATTCTACTTCCCAACAGAAGTCTTTTGGGATTTCAACTGGAACTTCATTTATATTAACTGTGAGGAGAACTGACAGTTTTATACTTCTCACTCACTTTTGGTACCTGCTCAGAGCTTGTTTTCTTTCAATGAGATAGCAGTTTTCTTCAAATCAGTAGTCCTCCTCCCTGGCTATACATCAAAAGCACATGAGAAGCTTTAAAAAAAAAAAAATGTCTCTTGTTAACGGCCTGTAACATTTACTTCTAGGTATTTTATAAGTTTCATTTTTGCAAACTAAATATTTTTTCATTTCCACTCCTAGATATTCATGGTAATGTGGAGAACAGCTAGGCTTTTTAAAGTATTTCCCTTTCGTTCAGCCACTTTGCCAGGTTTCCTTATGAATTCTAATAGATTTCCAGTAGAGTCTGGGGTTTTCTAGACAGACATCTGTTGATATTTCTACCTGCTGGTATCTTGTCTTTTGTTCCCCTTGTCCCTGTGGGTTTATATATATTTTTGTCCTCTTACTGTCATTTGGTAGACATCAGACAGAAGTACTTGGGTCCCACAGTTCTTATGAGGAAAGTCTACATGTAGCCATTTGTAGCCTCACAAATTATGCTTTGGGTGACTTTATCCATGTTGATTAATGCAGATTTACTGTGTCATTTTCAACTGCTCTAGACTATTCCACTGTGTGACTAAGCCTGTTTATCCCATACCCTAAGGAGGAAGAAAGAGTTCATTATGAGGGAGTTGCAGCAAACATCCCTGTATGGCCTTGTACACGTACATCCTTGTACACATGACAACTTGTCTACCTAGAAGTGGAATTACTGACTCACAGAGCACCAGTACCCTCTCGCTATATGTATCACCTCGTCTCTCTTCAAAGCAGCCATACCAGTTCATCTTCCTGACATCATGCGTTCCCCTTTCCCCACATCCTCGCCCGCAGTGATTATACAGATGTTGCACGTTTTTGCCAGTGTGACAGGCATAAAGCGACAGCCCATCTCCTTTGCATTTCTCTGATTCCTAAGGGAGGTTGAGCGAGTCTTTATACCTTTGTTAGATACCCTGGTTTCCTCTTTTTGTGAAATTCACATGTTTTGCTCTGCAGTTGTCTGCCTTTTACAGATTTACCTGTAGGACTTCTCTGTGTATTCAGTCAATTATGTATGTTGCAAATCTCTTCTCCGACAATGGATCATTTTTTTCACTTTGTTAGTGGTATCTCTCGTTACATGGAAATTTTTAGTTTGAATTGAGTCAAACAGATCACATCTTCCTTCATAGCCTCCACTTTTAAAATCTTGACATGCTCTTCCCTTTGTCAAAGGAACAAAGATATTTTCCCCCAATTTTACAGCTTTTTTTTTGAATTCTTTAATCCACCCATAACTTATATGTGTATGGTAGAGGAAATAAGTATCTGATCTTCTCTTTTTCCAGCACCAATCATTCAACAGTTCATCCTTCTCCTGTTGATTTATAATGCCACCTCTCATACATCAAGCTCACTTATGTACTTGGATCTATTTCTAGGCTCTGTGCAAAACGTGTACAACCCGTAAAACAAAACAAAACAAAACAACTGAGAACAAAAACAAAGAACTTTCAACAATATGGGAAAATGCTTGTGTGACAATGCTAATTAAAGCAGGATTGATCTTGACTATGTAAAATAACAGGCACACAAAAGACTGCGCATATAAATGGAAAGGTCTAACCTAGCTGTTGCAAGCTGTCTATTCACCAGTATACCATTCCCCCACCCCCCCCACCCCCCGCTATACCTTCTAACCCCAGGAGCACCCCTGTAGCTTACACAAGCTCTACCTGGGTTCAAAAATAAGCTACATGAGGGGCGCCTGGGTGGCGCAGTCGGTTGAGCGTCCGACTTCAGCCAGGTCACGATCTCGCGGTCCGGGAGTTCGAGCCCCGCGTCAGGCTCTGGGCTGATGGCTCAGAGCCTGGAGCCTGTTTCCGATTCTGTGTCTCCCTCTCTCTCTGCCCCTCCCCCGTTCACGCTCTGTCTCTCTCTGTCCCAAAAATAAATAAACGTTGAAAAAAAAAAATAAATAAGCTACATGAAACTGGAGAGTGGGGGGTTTGGATGAAAAGGGTCCAGGCTGCCCAGGACCTACCTGGAGTTTTGCGACTTCCTTTCTGATCAGAAAACTGACTTGGTCCCTGTCATTCCTGGAGTAATAGAGACGGCACCAGGAAGGCTTCCCATCCCTGCCAGCCCGGCCGGACTCTTGGTAGTACCCAGCCATAGACTTGGCAATATTCCAGTGGGCAACAAACCTGTAGGATCCAAAGGGATGAGCAGCATGAGCTGTGGCAGAAGAGACGAGGGGAAGAGGTCTCCACAGTGACCAGGAGCAGGGAGGCTAGCAGCTTCCAAGTAAATGTGGCCAAGACCCCTGCACCCCATCAGCAGGCCTCCTGGCCGTGGAACGGCTCAGGTTAGAGGCCACAGCAGAGTTAAGGGGGGCAATTCCAGCACATGAGAAACCAAAAACACTCACAGAGGCCCAGAGGCAAAAGCACTGGGCTTAAAGCAACAAGAGTAGGCCACTAATGAGCTGCCCAACCTCGAGTAATCCTTTAACCTCTTTGAAGAGAGAAAGGGATGACATTATTAAACACCTACTATGAGCCAGTTTACCCATTTGTCTCATTTAATTTTACAGTTACTATAAGGTGAGGTAACCCTGTTTTATAGACAATGAACTTGAGATTCAGGAAAATGTATACAAGGTCAAATAGCAAGGGGACAGCAGGGGTTAAGATTTGGGCCTAGGGGGGCGCCTGGGTGGCGCAGTCGGTTAAGCGTCCGACTTCAGCCAGGTCACGATCTCGCGGTCCGTGAGTTCGAGCCCCGCGTCGGGCTCTGGGCTGATGACTCAGAGCCTGGAGCCTATTTCCGAGTCTGTGTCTCCCGCTCTCTCTGCCCCTCCCCCGTTCATGCTCTGTCTCTCTCTGTCCCAAAAATAAATAAACGTTGAAAAAAAAAAAAAATTTTTTTTTAAGATTTGGGCCTAGGGGTGTCTGACTTCAAAGTTGGCCCCCAACAAGCCACCGCAGCCCCAGGGTCCAAACTCAGATTCCAAAGCCTGTGTTCTCTCAAATGTAAGCGCACAGACTCATTCCTCCACTGACCAACTCAGAGTCCCTGTGAGTCTTAATGAGATCATGTATGCCCAAGTGCTCTGTACATCATACAAAGCATTATTGTTGGTGTTAATGAGAGCAGACGGCTTTAGGCTGTAGCACAAAATGTCTCTGGAAGGTTGGGGGGGCTAGAGATAAAGACTCGCCAAGAGTTGCCAGGGTGGTACTAGAAGGCTGGGTGGGGTGAGCCCCACCCATCTCTTCTAGACTGTCGAAAAGCAGTAACAAGGAAGGCTGGGAATAAGACACTGACTTTGATATCCCACAGGGAGCAGCTTAAGACAGTTCATTCCACCCCCTCACAGGGACCATGTGCTAGATGCACACGCTGCGTTACGGATGGGCCTGATGGCCTGTGTGCCGCCCTCTCCTGAGGGATGACAGAACCCTGCGATGCAGTCACCTGGGAGTAGGCTGCACAGCACCTGTCACCATGTGGGCTGTGCACCAGGGACTCTCTCCTGGGGCCCTAGAAGGAGCCTATGGACTTGCTCCTTGAGGCACAGCACCAGGCAACCCACCTGAGCCAGGGCCTTGACTGGGAAAGAAAGGCAAGAAGCATCCCTCACCTGACATTGGCTTTATCCACTCCCATTCCAAAACTAATGGTTGCAACAATGACAGGAACCTTCTCCTCCATCCAGTCGTTCTGCACCAATGTTCTCTCAGAAGGCTTCAGCCCTGTAAATGAGGGCAAGGTGTCAGAGGGAACCCACGTCTTCCTTGGGATCTACCTTGGGCTTGACCCTGCCCTGGGTGCTGCACACACACCTTCAGTCCATCACTTACCAGCTGTGTGGCACACAGTGCTCAGTAAGTGTTAAGTCAAGATTCAAACCTCAGTCCACTGGCCTTTAAAACCGTGCTCTCTCTACAACACCAATACCTAGACTTAGAAAAACTCATCACTTGCTGCTGGGAGGGCTCAGGGTGAGAAAAGGACTTCAGGAGTCACAGTCCTCATTTTAGATCTTATTTGTGTCTAGACTCCTTTTTGTGGACGTAAGTGAATTGCTTTAGCTCTGTCTGAGTATCTGGAAAAAGATGACGGACCATCTGATTATCCAGGATCTTTAAAGAACAAGAGACCCACTGAGAGGCCTCTGAGAGGGAAGAGGAGCACATGGCCCAGGCGCCCCTTACCTGCGTGGTATGCCTTGGCATTCACACCCCTGTAACTGAGCTCTGTTGCCAGCTGCTCGCAAGCCTCTCTGGTCCTGCAGTAGACAATGCCGCAGCCAGAGAGTGACTGAATGAGGAGACATGGGAAGACAGCATTGAGAAGAAAGAACAATCTGCCCATTATATTGTGGACTGCTTTAAAAGAAGCTTTTGCTCTGGAGTGCCTGGGTGACTCAGTTGGTTAAGCATCTGACTCTTGATTTCAGCTCAGGTCATGATCTCACAGTTCGTGAGTTCGAGCCCCTCAGAGCCTGCTTCACAGAGACTGCTTGGGATTCTCTTTCTCCCCCTCTCTCTCTGTCCTTCCCCTTCTCTCTCTCTCTCTCAAAAGTAAATAAACTTTAAAAAAAGAAGAAGAAGAAGGTTTCCCTCTTTCTCATGTCAGTCTCACAGGCTCCTCTGAGGCAGGCCACCAGCAGGGCTCTGCCACTTTGTAATCAAGCAGCTCAAAACCATAACCCATCTAACTCCTCTGCTTCTTGTCCTGAAGCCTTGGATACATCTGCAAAGGCCTCACTCAGGGTTGGCTGCTCACCTCCCACAGGAGAATGTCAGGACAAGGGGACTCCATGAAGAGGAATAATGCCAGGAAACCAAAGGAACAACTCTCAGAGTGCAAGTTTTAAGAGGCGGCAGCTAGTTCTGGCTAAAGCAGCGAGAAAAAGCAAAGGTCCTAGAAAACCAACATCCACCTCTACACTGCAAGATACCAGCTCGGGGCTCTCGAGGCATCTTGGCCCCCCCCTCCCCCCCCTCCCGCCCTCAGGGCCCTCACCCCTTTAGCAGTCTTCTGTCCAAGAGCCTTAAGACAGAAGTCCTTCAGGTTTCCATAGGGATCAGAAAGCAGTTCTTTGAACTGCACATCATAGAAGAGGTTGGCCCGAAAGCAGGGAGTCTTGAAAGTGGCAACCGGTTGCTTCAGGTGCAGGGCAGCAAACACATCCTCTTGGACTTGCGGGGTGGCTGTGGCAGTCAGAGCCACACACGGGGCATGTGCCAGGCGGGAACGGAGGGTACCCAGACGCAAGTAGTCAGGACGGAAGTCATGCCCCCACTGGGAAACGCAATGAGCTTCATCCACCACCAGGTAGGAGAGCAGGTGGCGGGACAGCAGTGAGTTCAGGGTAGGCTGGAAGGAGGCTGAAGCCGCCATCTCTGGTGTGATGTACAGAAGTTTGGTCTGTGGCTTTTCTTGCTCCAGGTCCGAGAGCAGCTCCTTCTTTTCCTGTGCTGAGAGCTTTGAGTTCAGAGAACTCACTCGTACCTTCAGGGCCAGCAAGTGGTCCACCTGGTCCTGAGGGTAGAAGGGAAACAGGCCACAGAGCGGAGGACACAGTGGTAAATGTCATCTTGACTCACTGGGCATTTCCCAGCCATAAGTGCCCTCCCCCCAACCTCCAAGGTCTTCTCTCTGCATACAAAAAGTTCAGAGGGTGAAGTGGGTGACAGCACAGGCTCTGGAGACAGACAGACCTGGCTCATTCCTGGCTCACTTAATCGCCACATGCTCTTTGACTGGCTCTTAGCCTCTGAGACTCAGTTCTGTCTGTCTCTCCCCATCCCTCCCTCTTGTAAAACTGGTAACTATCTAATAGGATAGTTGTTAGCATTAAGTGAAATTTTACACTGCAAAGGTGAAGTGAATGCACCTAAGGCACTTAGCACAAAGCCTGAGACCTCGTGAAACTCACGAAGCACTGTTATTCCGTTTCTCTTCATGGTGGATGACTCTTAACCACATAGCCACACTTCCTCATTTCTGATTCTATCAGCCCATCTGCAAGCCTTAAATATAGCCAGAGGGGCAGAGCAGATGCTGACAACATCCCAATCAGTTTATATCATTTTAGCTCTCTACCCGTCTGCATCTTCTATCCTGTCAAGAGTGCCCATGTGTGTACATGACACGGTGTCTATGTGTATACAGATACATTTCCACACTCCTCTGGGTGAAAGGTAACGAAGGAGAGACTCTGGGCCATCAAAATACAGAAAACTCATTCATAACCTGCCAGAGTGGTATGCACTAGTGGCGATGATGACACATTTGGACAATTCAGAAACCCGATACAGAAAGGGAAATAGGCAAATCAAAGGAAATAAAAGGCAAAAGACCAAACAAATGAGACATGACATTCCCAGCGGGAAAACCAAACCAAACCAAAACCAAAACCAAACAAACAAAAAGGCCCACCTTCCCCTAAACTTTTTGGGTTACTATCTTCATTCCCCTAAGGCTCACCTGAATCAAAGCAATGAGTGGAGAGATTACAATGGTGATGCCTTTGGCCAACACAGCAGGAAGCTGATAGCAGAGGGATTTTCCTGCCCCTGTGGGCATGCACACAAACACATCCTTGTCGCCTGAAAAAATGCAAGATAATGATATCTAAATGCTTCCTGCCTTTTATCTTTTTCCTTGTCAAGGCTGCTGAAAACGAAATGAGACTGTAGGGAAAGCGCCTAGCAGAGTGGCACAGGTAAAGGTAATAATGCTAATTTCCTTCCCATCCTTCTTGTGCTAAGGGCAGAGATCCAGAGAGATTTGGAAATGGGCACAAACCATTTCTAGTAATGGCAATGACAACCATAAGGGTGAAAAGTCTGAGTCTGTTGGGATATGGATGATTGAATTAAACAGCCATGAAAGTTGAACACTTCTAGATGGAGTGGGTATACCTGTGGAGACATGGAAGCCACATCACTCAGAAGACTTTTGCATAGGGACGCCTGGGTGGCTCAGTCAGGTAAGCGTCCAACTTTGGCTCAGGTCACAGTTTGTGGGTTCGAGCCCCGCATCAGGCTCTGTACTGACAGCTCAGAGCCTGGAACCTGCTTCAGATTCTGTGTCTCCCTCTTTCTCTGCCCCTCCCCCACTTGCTCGCGCGCTCTCTCTCTCTCTCTCTCTCTCTCAAAAATAAATAAAACGTTTTTAAAAATTAAAAAAAGACTTGCTTATAAACGTTACAATGTAATTAATGTTACATTGTTACTACCCTCTTGATAACCTCCATTGTCAATATGTATCAGATTTATAATATTATTACTACTTCCTTCCCTATTTGGGACGGAGACCACTCAATCTCCAACAAAGGGTTTAGAAGGTCAAAGACTGGATTAGGCCATTCCTGCCACTCCCACTACTGCCTACACACAAACGAACATGGACTGAAATCTATGAACTGCTTTCAAAGACAATCTGCAGCTCTAGCTATGAAATGTAAGAACCAGAACAGCTGGGTGATTCTGCCAATAAAACCGCTTAAAAGTGACAAATCTACAAGATTTCCAGCAATAATTATGGACCAAGAGTGGGGAGGTAGGAAGGGTCAGAAAGAGTGTTGGCACCCTCCATGGCAATGCTACAGTATAGCCAGCACAAATGTAAACACAGGTAGTTTTAGCAATGTTACCTTTCACTACAGCCATGGTCGCACTCTCCTGTAATGGTGTCTTAAAAGAGTCAAACCCAAAGACCTTCTTCAACGTGCTCCGGACTCGACGTTCAGGGTCAAAAGAAGGGTGGGTGCTCATCTTAGCGACAGACAGTGGCCAAAAGTTAAGGCATATGGTTGCGATGAAAACCCCCTGTTCTGCTTTTAAAATACTGCTTATTTTTCTCTAAGTAAAATTTCCTTTATTACTCCCAAGCAGTATATTATTTCCAAGTAACATAGCTCCAGGTGAACACCCTCAAGCAACAAAGTCCTGGGCAATTAACATGTCCACTTCTATGCTGAGGAAAATAAAAAACATTGAACTATGCTATGCCGCGGTATGGCACGGAGCTAGAAATCAGATCACGAGAAGAAACACAAATGTCTTTGGAATCCTTTGGAGAAGATGGAATTGTTTTTCTAAGATCCACCTTCTGCTCCTTTTATAAGTGCTGCTATCACGGCAATTCTACCCCGACCCCTTCTTCCCACCTCCTGGAGGAGAGCTCATCGCTTTTCTTCCTCTGTTAAACCCCCGTTAGCTCTTTTCTCCCTTCCCCAGCCGAACCCTCCCTCTCTTCACCCCAAGATATCAGAGCTGGCGGTGGGCCACCCCGGAGCGAAGGACTCTTGCCGGGCCGCTGCTGCCCGCTGGTCGGGAACTACTCGAAGACCCCCATATACCACCCCAAACTCAGAAGCCAAAAGGCTGGGGATTCAGTGTCAGCTAAAACCCACACAACCTTACATCCGTCGCGCAGTGATGACGTCACGGCAGCCTGGCGGGAGGGGCGGGGCCAGGCCAAGAAACGGCCGTTTTGATTGGTTTCTGGTCAGGAACCGGCGCGGGTTCTCCTGGGATAGGAAAAAGTCGCCTTTCCGCACGGAAGTCGGCTTCTTTGAGTCATAAGACTGAGGCGCGCCGGGAGTAAGATGGCGGGGAAGAAGAATGTTCTGTCGTCTCTGGCAGTTTACGCGGAAGATTCAGAGCCCGAGTCCGACGGCGAGGCTGGCGTCGAAACAGCGGGCAGCGCGGCTGGTGAGGCCTGAGTAGGGAGCTGGAAGGGGAGAATCAGGTGTCTGCTCGGAAAGCTGCTCACCTAGCAGGGCGGGAGGGGAAGAGATGGTCATTGTGCCCCAGGTATCGGGCCCCGGAACCCCGGAGCCCCGAAGCGCGATCGAGACCCTGGTTGGGACAGAGTGGACGCCCTGGAGTAAGAATGGACCATCTCCTTCCGTTGATTCGGTTATTCTGCCGTAACTTAATGAAAGTCTTCTCCATGCCGGGCATCGTGTTGGGCATAGGGATGGGCGAAAGATGGAGAGGATCCAAAGCTACGGATCCACCACCTGTTCCTTCTGGGCTCGTTGTGTAATGGGGGGAGCGACGCGTAGAACGTACCTGGAGGGTGGTAAAGGTTGTGTCTTGTTAAGTTTATAACTTTGCATTAGGAATGTGCCCTAGACTCATATTGGACCTTTTAAAAATCTGGTCTCGCTGGCGAGAGTAATTTGTAGATTTGGGGTAGAATCTGGGCATTTTGTAGCTTTTTAATACTCTTCAGTGATTCCAGTACTTTGTAGGCTGTTGAAGCCCATCAGTGATTTTGTTGCCCTACTCAGGTTGAGAATCACAATGTTAGGAAATGGGAACAGATTTCTTTGGCATCATAGAAAGGGCAGCAAGCTACCTAACATATCTGGGACTTCCTTTCCTCATCTGGAGGTTAGCTACTCTCAGTTTTGCATGCCCTCTTCCAGTCAAGAGGTTCTCTGGTGGTTTCCCAGTAATTGTAGCATTTTGTATTTTTCTTGTTGTTGTTTGTTTTGGTTTAAACATAGAAGACTTTGCTTCTCAAGTAGGTATGATTGGGAACTCCTCTCAGTGCCCCCAGTTAAAATTCCTGTTCCTTAGCCTGTTTCCGATTCTGTGTCTCCCTCTCTCTCTGCCCCTCCCCCATTCATGCTCTGTCTCTGTCTGTCCCATAAATAAATAAAAACGTTGAAAAAAAAATTTTTTTTTAAATAAAATTCCTGTTCCTAAAGAACACAAAAATGATGGCAACAGAGTCTTTATCTTGTATAAGAAGACAAGTT